GGGGGGGGGGGCGGAAGAGGGGGTTGAAGCCAATTAGTCCTGGCCTTCCACCAGTTATGCCCAAGACCTTCTATAATACAAGGCCCACAACTTCCACAAAGCCCTCAAGGCCAATCCACAAACATAGCAAGGCCCCACATTTCCCACTGAGTGTCCTGTGGCCCGATTCACACTGGTGTCCCCTTAACCTACCAAAAGAGTGGGGAAGGAAGAGAAGAAAGCAGTGTGGGGGGCGGAATCTCTCCTCCCAGTCAGGAACAGAGAATGAAGTGTATTGCTGTCTCCAATGTAACACACCTCATTTGTACCCTACACCAGACTGAGGTCAGGATTTATTTGGTGATGTATCAAAACTCCATATAGTCAGTAGTTGCAAAGTATTTTTGAAAAACTTGATGATAAAAGCAGTTTAATTGTGCATTTAAGATATCACCTAAACATGTCCAGGTAAGAACAAACAAACATAACTTAAATGCACAAGAAGCAAGTGGTTCAAGGACCTGTTCAAAGCACTGCTTGTGCCAATTTTGCTAGTGCCATCACTACCTAGTGCCGCCTCCTCACCCTCTGCCAAAACAGGCTGATCCAGGTGCTGAGTTCATTCAGCACTTGCAATAATACCAGCATTAAGCAATGACTCTCCCTCACCTCAATGTACAAGAGAGATCAGTACATTGCTACACCAAAGTGCAAAATATTTTTTTTTTAAAGGAGAATTGAATTCTTTTAAGTCACAGTAAAAACAGCTGTTGCAGGGAAGGAACGAGGATAGTAATGGAAAAAATGTATCTTGTGCACATGCCAGCGTATGAAAGGTTGTTATACTACTGCAGTTGTTCAGGTGAAAATATGAGCCATGTAATGCTATCAAGGTCAGCAACTTAATCATGACCTGCCAAAAGAAGTACTTATTTCACCACCATATATCAATATTAATAGATCTGTATAGATCTATATCTGCATGGCTAGAATATACACACCCAATTATCTAATAAAAGTTAATTTTCAAAATACTTTTTACTAGATCATTTGAGCCAATTTCTGTCTTTGCTGTCCTTTCCTCGCACGTTCTTTATTGCAACCCTCTACATTAACTGACACATTTTAAATTGGAAAACGGATTACACATTCTTTGGACAACAGCACCACATAGTGTCACAAACTGGAGTATGAACACAGATTGCAAAAAGGGATTTGTCCAGTTATATGTCCCCAGTAGCTTCAAATCCTGCAGAAAAGGAAATAAGGACATTCAGGATAAAAGTCATCATCCAATACTTGTGACAAGAACAGAGGCGGCACTGTAGGTACCAGGAAAAATAAAAATTAATATTTTTTTATAGTAAAGCAAAGAAACTATTACAAACATAGTTTCATCTTTGTATCTTCACTTGTGCCACTTCATTCTCTTGTAGTATAGGAAAGTGCACAGCATAAATTACTAATATGAATTCTGCAGTATCCCAAATTGATCCACTGATTTCTCCAAGGATAGGCTTTAGCCCATGAAGACAGTAGTACTTATTACAACCTAGAATCCCCAGTTCTCCCTTTGGAAATGAGAAGTGACCAGCACCACAGAATGTCCCATGAGAATCGATTTTCCTGAGAAACAGATCTTTCAGTCTTAACTCATAGGAGTAATCCCCTCAAATACCAATGGCAAAACATATGTGATGTTATGATATGGCCATAAAGGAGAGCCCCCGCTACCCAGTGAGACTTCTTGTGTCCAATAAGTGAAGGAAAAGGTCTCACTTGCCTTTCTTCACTGGAATTATCCCAATAAGAAGGACTTTATACAGAAAGATAGCAAATAGAATTTGGACCCAAAGTAAACCAAAGTTGAAAACTGAAAATTAATGGCACTTTGGAAACCAAAACAAGCACATATATTCCTGCTTCCCCTTCAGGAGGCAAAATTTGTTTGGACTTCAGCTTGATGGATCTGCACCACAGTCAATACACAAAAACCAGTTGTTCTTATTTGTACTGAATATAGCTACACATTTGAATGGCCAGAAAGAAAATTCTCCTCTGTTATTTAAGCTGAAATTATTGAACAGGTGAAAAGGAGTACTAGTAGTTATAAACGGCCCTGCAATCTTTGGCATCTGCTCTTTTGCTGTCACGAGACATTTCTATCAGTTTGTACATATTTACTTTTAAAGAGAGCAGGAGGGAGATTAAAACAGACTCTAAAACACGCAAATATCCATTAAACCCAACAGGAGCCCTTCAGTTACTGACCACGGGGATGGGTCAGGCTTAGTGTGTAAAGGCTTCGAATAAGGAGTTCCAAAATACAGCGTTAGCATATTTAAAAATAAAAATTGATACTATTAAAAAAGTAGCTAAATCACCTCACCTTGATGCCAAACAGGTTGTCTCTCTCCTTACAGGAAATCAGGAATAACACTTCAAAATTTATTTTGAATAAAGTTCCAATAGAAATAAATTATTAGATCATGTTAAAAAAAAAAATTTTTTCCAAATTTTTAGAAGAACTGATGAGTAGAGACATGCACTAGTAAGTGAAAGTATTTCCTGCATTTCTGCAATGTTTTAATTTAAAAAAAAAAACCCGAGACAAAAAAAATTGACATTTAGATATTTATATTAATATTTAAAAACCAAGACTTTTTTTCATAATTCTACAGACATGGAGCCATTTTTGAAGTTTGAGTATGCAATACAACAGACATCATGATATAACAAACTATGCAAAAACCTTGACACGAAGAAGAATAAAAACCCATTGTATGAAATATCTGGCTCAGCAACTATAGATCTTCTGTAAAGGCACACTTCTACGCAAAAAAAATTGGCAATGACTTCAGATCTGGCTAAGTGACACAGTAGGATAGCCAGCAATTCCCAGACTCCCAAGTATAAGCAGTCTCCAATATCAGCTAAGAGATAGTCACCAATAAGCTCACTTCCGTTCACTCCCATTCTCGTATAGTTCCCAACATGTTTCCCTCTTTCCATTTCTCTCCTACAGACAGTGTTCTTCCAGGCTCAGCCCCTCCCCAGAAAGTGACTGCTGTCTGGGGTGGGTACACTTGTCTATCACACTGTTTAGGAGTGTTCTTCTATGATAGCTATTGGATACATCAAGAGGAAGGTAACTTGAATGAACTGCTTTAGTCTAAAGCCTTACACATGAGCTGCTGCTGCCACCCCCTGCATTCAGAGCTAACCTGAGGAAATAGGGACACATGCCTTACAAGACAGAAGTAAGGCCACCATTTAATTCACATCTGTGATATTGTGCACAGTTACACCATAACTAGAACCCATGTCTAGTAGGAAAGGGGAAAGAAGAGGTTTTGTATCATCTCTCCATCCTTACTACTATTGGGCCCCATACTCACAATCATACTCCTCAGCAGTAGTCTGGTGCTCCCAGATAGAGGGTGGAGAGGGGGAAGAAGGAGTAAAGAGTATGCCATTACATTTCCTATATCTCTATGCACTTTGTAATACTGGAAACTAGCATATAATATGTGAGAGTGAGCCACCAAGGGTTTAAGAGGTAGAAGTATTGTCTTGTAGCATATCCAGTAAGAAATAGCTTTGACCATAGGGTTGCCAGAACTACCCACACCCTGGCTCCCCTATTTAGATAAGCCTATTTGAAAATCAATCCACTCATTCAGATATGACACGTAAAGCCATTGGTGCCCAGAGACAGTTTTGTACATAGGCACCAAAGGTTACTTTTTACATAAAATCCCACCTCCTCACACCACACACTTTTCTCAAGTTCAGACAGGAAGCATCTAGCTACTACATAAAACACACGTTACAAAAAAAAAAAAAAATCACCACATATTCCCTTTATGTTCCAAGGTGTGTTGGAGGTGCCAAGACTCATACCAACACCAGACCCATTACAGGACCCTAACTCTCAGTTCTATATACATTTTATATCTGAAAGTGCTCCTAGAGCAAGTAGTAGTTTTTGCATTTAACTGCAAATTAAAAGGATTGCATTGCCATAAGTTGGTAAACTTGTGTTTGTGTCACTTGTTCTATGCACTGTGAACAGTACCAGAACACAACATATTTGAATGAGCACCATCATAAAGTACATTAATAAGCAACCTGGTAAATTCAGCAATTAACAGCAAATTTAGGACCACTATTCACTTTTTCAATATGCACACAAAGGGTTATAACAACTGACTAAAGATCAAAACATAAATTTTCCCCCTTCCAATATGTAGTTCTAATCTCACTTACTCATCCTATAAATTTTAAATAAAGTTAAACAACTGTGAAAAAAAAAATCTTGTAGCCTTTACTCAGCCAGACTCCCATGAAGAAGTGAAGCAAGTATCTACAGCAGGACTGTAGGATCAGTCCTTTGAATCTGAACTTGCGTTCTCTTTGGGAGCGATAATTACAGTGCACATTAAACAAGATCTATACATGAACATTTATTCTTCAGTTATAGCTTCAAGGAGGTACTGAGGCAGTGGTTGCATAGGTAGTAATTCTGTGAGTAGTGCTTCAAACACCACATTATTTCCTTGGAGGCTTCACATTTAAAGTCCATGACTGACATCTGTACAGGTTTCATAGTTGGTTGATTGCTGCCAGAAAGGTGATGAGAAATGCTATGTTTCCACAAATGTAGATAGTTAATACAATCTGCTTAAATGTACGACCCTGAAAAGAAAAAAGAAGCATCTCAATTACTTTTGAAGAGACAGTATCTAGTGTCTCTAGCATGAGATATTTATTATATGACTTGCCTCTGCTTCCACAGATGTAAGTGACTGCAGAATATGTATCCTATCATCATCTATTAGCTCAACTGAAAAAAAAAAAAAAGAGAGAAAATAGTTGGCTCTACAACTGATTTAAAAGATCCAATTTTTCATAAATTAATATTTACATAGGCTAGTAAGTTTGACCAACAAAGTTTTGATTTCAAAAGAGAAAACATTGGTCAACATGAAACTGTTTTTGCTGAATAAATTATTAGCAGAGAAAAATTCACCCATCCCTAATTGTATTATATGAACATGAGAATACAAGTTCTTATGTGGAGAAGAGATTGCTGCTTTTGGCAAAGATGCACTCTAATTGTAAAAGTACAGAGAACTGAGAGAGAAGCTTAAGTGTTCCTTTCTTCCAGAACTTCCTTCTTCCTTTCCCCTTATTTTGTGCTATTTGATATTACCATCTTTGTTACTCATCTAGGTGGCATCTAAACCCCACATCTTTGCTCATCGTTCCCTCTTTGCGTGTCTTCTTACATCATAAGGATTCTGACCAACACCTTTCCTCATTATTATACAATTACCCGTCATGTATTTAACACTTATGCTGGCTCATTTATGTATCAACTCACTTATATTTGCAAAATGTCTCTGCCTAGAGACACTAGTCAAAGCAAGGTTACAAGTTTAGATTGCCAACCTGGTCCCATTAACACTCAAGAAGGAAAACAAAAAAAAGTCTCCTACCAAACTTTACAGTATCAGAATTTCACCCATGATACTTGAGAACCAAAATTCCCATGGTGAACTTAAACAGAAAGTGTTGTCATTTAAGTCCAAGTCCAATCCCTGATGACAACTATCCCATCTATGTGACGCATCTTCAGTTAGTTGGGACAATAATCCATCACAAGGGATCTGCAAGGGCAGCAGGTAATGTTACTTTCTTGTTCCCATGGAGTCTACCCTCTCACACTCAGCTGGACTTTCCCCAGCACATCAACAACTACAATGTGTCATGCCGCATTTCACTCCAATTTTAGGAATTACATTGAGATTGTGTCAAAGTGCATTTTCACTTAGAGGCAAGAATTCTTATGGCGAGTATTAAGTAATTCCATTACTGAGACTACTGGGATCAATTTTTAAGATTAGTCACTAGTGATATATGAGCTTTTGTCCATGTGTTTTTTTACTATGAAGCATCTGACTTGGACAGTTTGCATAGACCAAGTCACCTTAATGAGCAGGGATTTGTAAGTACAGGTTAGAAACTATCCAAGGTCCCTTTTTACAAATTTAGTTTACAAGTTTTTGCAGATGACCTGCAAAGTGTCATTTTGTACTACACTGCAAACAAGGCCAGCAGTTTTGTTTCGTTTGTACCTTTGTGAATGAGACAGTAGCCATGTATCTCCAGAAGAACATCGATCCCAACATGCCATGCCACAAATCCAATCATTGTATAAGTGTCCCATGGGTATGGAAGTTTGAGTGCTGGTAGATCCATTCCCAGGAACATAGTCACAACTGGTTGTTAAAAATAAAATTATTCATATTAGAGCAACATGAAGGGAAGCAGTAAGAAGTCTTGTCTTCACA